TTAATGATGACCCTGCTTGATAAGACCATTTTTACTATAGTGCTGCTCTACAATGTCCATCACGTGTGTTTTTGCAGCCATTAACTTCAGTGAGGTAAGTATTTTTTTGTTGGCTTATAAAATATTTCTGCAGCAAACGCAAGGGCTAAATCCTCACATGGTTTCTGGTTGCTTTGTTCAGCGTCTGGGTGTTTATGTGCAGGAATTAGATACCCCTGTGTTGTGTGTGTCTCAGAGGYGCTGCCATGTTGCCGTGAACAGACAGACAGGTATTCAACTCTAATCACCAGGTATCGGCTTATCCAGAAGAGCATTGTTGGTCTTTGTTGCAGCAGTTATGCTCCACGTGTTCCAGCTGCCTGTWTCTGCTGCTGTTTGAATGACAGAACAACGTGCACTCTTTAGTCTATAGGATTTTGTTTTATTTTATCAGGAGACAAAGTTTGTGAATACCACACATTATAAGAATCATAATTATTTAGAYTGCTTTTAGTCTTTGTTTACCTCTGTGTGGTTTCAGCTGAATTACTGTCTTTGATCAAACATGAATAATAAATGAAGGCAAGCTGCTAAAGCGCCTCGTTTCCAGCACCTGACATCAAAGCTCCACCCAGGAACCTTATTATGTCAGCAGGCAACCAGCTCCAGTTTCATACGTGATGATTCATATGTTTAGAGGAAAAGCAGAACAGAAAACCCACTTCACAGGATTGTAATCAAACCTGCCTTAGTTATCTTTTGTAATTAGTTTAATGATGATGAAACACGGTTTGAAAGAAATTGCCAAATTATTTTCCCTTTTAAAGATGTCGACTAGCACTTTACATGAAAGTTTTTTCAAAGTTGATCATTTTTTTGCAGTATTGATAATATTTTTCTTTGGCTTTACTGAAGAAACATGGTTACAAATAAGTGAAAGTTCACACAAATCACGTGTGTTTCTTGAAGTTGTTTAATCTGTAATGCAGAAAATAAAGTTTTATAAAACTGTTACTTGCATCRTTGTCTTTGTGTGTTTGTCTTTTTRCAAAATTTCTTGTGAGCCACTGGACAGGTTTTAATGACACRACTATAACTTCCTCACAGGATAAGATTAGTTTAGGTTTAAACCCAAGGTAGTGGTTGATTKTCATTCCTTCAAAGAAAACTGAACCATGATTTTCTGTTCGTGTCTTGATTTACCTGGTGCTCAAATTGTGCATTTTCCATTGCAAAATGGGAATTTAGTTCAGAAATGTCACAAACTTGCACCAAAATGCAGTATAGAAGGAATAAAATTTCCTCCCACCACCCACACACACAAACTTGTACGTCTGCGGAGATTCAGACATCAGAGCACAAACAACGTCAGTGATGACGACTGTTTTTAGAGGCACGAGGCTGAAGCCTCATCAAGTGCTGGTTGTATACATAATGAATGAAGCACAACCACATGCTGTCTTCATGCTGCTGTTCAGCTCATTTTCTCTTTGTTCCTTTAATTGGGCTCATTATTAAGGGACATTAAAAGTGTCCTCGGTTTATCCAGATTCTGTTTTCAACAAATTATCCTTTTTTTGTTCTGATTATCGTGTTAAAACTCTCTTCCTCGTTTGCAAATACAGCGGGTAAAATAAGTATTGAACACAACAACATTTTTCTCAGTAAATATATTACTAGAGGTATTAATGACATGAAATTTTCACCAGATGTCGGT